ACACATATTTAAACTAGCTACGTCCTGAATACAAGTAAAGCGTGTTAGCATGGAGCCATCCTGCTCGATGTGGCAAGGCTGATGGCAACAATGGTATATGATACTACAAGTAAATGTAATTTATCTGGACAGTATTTGTGATGATGTATATTGGTTTACTTTAAATTGTTATTTTTTATTTAAATATACTACTTAAATATTATCTAGGAAATGTGTTTTTCTCTAGCATTGATATTTATACTTGATGACTTTTTTGACTAATTCCATGGAGAAAATTTATTGAGAAGCTAATAGTTGTTCAGATAGTCAAGAAACTCCCTGTCGCTTATGGAACTGGAAGATTCATTACTATGTTCATAAGATCCTGCTACTGGACTCTATCCCGAACTGACTGAATCAAGTTACAATCTCTCGTCTTATTTCTTTAACCCTTAACATCCCTGTGTTGTACTAGCATCTTATGAAAGTATTAATCCCAGAGTTAAATCTGGCTGGCAGCCCCATGGCATGGGGTTTTAAATCCCATATTAACATACAGTAAAGGTTGATATAAATTTTAATATTATCGTTTCATATATGTCTATATACCCCGAATGCATGCTACATGTCCTGCCAAATTCACCCCCCCTTGATTTCATTGCCCTGTTAATATTCTGTGAAGAACACAAAATTTGAAGCTCCTTGCTGTGTCACCTTCTCCAGCCTCATGTTATGTCATATATCTTAGGCCAAAACATTCTCTTCAGATCAAGGGATGTACAAAATGTTTTACCTGTTCTGCTGTGAAAGAATATATGGGATGTCTCTTCTTTAGCAGCAGAAAGAGTAATGGTCATGGTTTGTTGTAAATGGCAATTATAAACTTTACACATTTTAAGAAAACAGATATTATGTCATACTGTGGAGACTGAAGCTTACCACACCTTCCTTTTCAACTATTTTTGCAAGATTTTTATCGCTCTGATTCCAGAGACATACAGGTCTCACAGTTAAAGTGTACTGCACAGTGATAGCTAGGACAATCATGGCTAAATCTGCTTGATAGTTGTCAGTATTGAAGGAAGGATGAACAAATATTTTGGCAACCTGAAAAAGAGAAAGAATTATTTACTTTATAATGATTATGATTTTGCTGAGATACTTTCAATTGTGTAAAAAAAAATAAACCTATACAACTATTTGCTATGTAGGCTCTTGGGAGGGAGAGGAGGTATAGCTCTTACTCATTCTTAACCTCAGCACTAGATAGGGCCAGCATCACACCCCATTCACATTTTTCACCCGGAAAAGGACCCCAATACTCATTGAACAGTAGGCTGAGTAGGCCCCTGAGTGGTCTGGACGCAGAGGCTAGAGGAAATATCTTCTGCCCCCGTTGGGGATCGAACGCTGTTCACTCTACTGACTGAGCTACCCCTGGCTAGTACTGTTATATATATGTTTGTATAAATTATCAATTTGTTTGTTTATTTATTTATTCAATATTATAAGATGATATAGAAAAAAACCCTCTAAATATTTGTAATGGAGAAATAAGCCAATGGAAATCCAGCTGGTGGGTGGTTAGTATATTATTTATTATATAGTTTCACTTTGTTCGAATAACAATTAAATGAAGATATGTAGAGTAATTAAATAGGTTGTAATATGAGAATTACTAAAGAATGAACTGCAAAAATGCAACTCTGAAAGCTAACTTACATCATTTTCCTGGGAACCTTCTTCTCTGCGATTTCTGAGGTCATATCTTCCTAGGTACACAATGAGGTCAAGTGTAGCTAGCATCTCTCCACCCTTGGTGACACAGTGAGCAGCTGTTAAACAGTCACAGAACTGTCTGAAACAATATTTTTACCCATTCCTTGGTGTTCCAGTTAGTTAGATAAATTATCATCTTTCAAGTTAAACATATGTTAGAAATTATTATATTGATTGCCCTATTGCAATGCCATCTCTTGTTTATCAATGATGTTAAGTAAAATCATGAAGTTACAGCTGATTAATTAGAGCTATTGAACATCTGTCTTGTAGATGTTTCTGTAATTTGAGAGCACATTTTGGAAATCCATGTTTGTGACAGCAGGGTAATTCAATATATTAAACTGTTTGAATGGTGGAATGTAAGATGATAATGACTTACCTGTAATAATAGTCTTGGCACCCACCAAAGATCCACCACAGGTGTATACTATGTCATAACCCTTGTGTTGATACAAAGCTGCATGCCAAGGCCACTGACCATGTTTTGTATCTTGTCCATTAACGATAAGGGGATTAGTTTTCACTACTGGAGAGCCACATTGGGTGTTCGTGCTTATGCCTGTATTACAATCATCAAGTACATTTCACTCATGGTGTCAAAGTATTTAGTGGCAAGGGTAAAGATTTGCTTTAAGGATGATCAAACATAGTCTGTTTCTAATACATATGGTAATAGGTAGTTGAAGAAATAGGAAGACAGGCAAACTGACGCAAAAATGTTTGTTTCAGAATGACTATTTTGTATACCACAAGACATTATAATTTTTCTGATCATGGATGCTGCAATCATAATATTTATACATAAATTCTGTTCCAAGGTTTTATTATTATCAGTTTTCAGTAGCTGAAAATGGTCAAACATATAAAGGATTATTTTAGTTCAAACTGTAAATATATTTTCTACTTATATAACATCAGGCAACATTATCAGTGAACAGAAAATACAGAAAACAGATAGTATTTTCATATTTACATTAACTATAGTGAAAGGCAATTAATAACTGACCGACAACATAATAAACTTCTTCCTTCAGAAAATGGAAATTACTCTTCTGATCAAGAAATTCTCTGCTGTTAGGGAACATGATGGTCCATATCAGGTATTATGAAAGCTTGCTACCATAACCCATCATAAGCTACTTAAATCCCATTCATGTTTTCTATTTCTCTAACATCCAATAATATTATTTTCATACTTGTAACTAGGTCCTCAAAGTACTTTCTTCTCATAAGGTTTTGTAACTACAATTTCGAATATACTTCTTCTTTCTCCTCCTCCTCTTCCTATTTGCATTCTTCTTGCTTTAATTTTCTTGATAATATTAGGTAAAGGTCTTCATTACATACATTTTTCCTTCTGCTGTGAACTCTATCACAAATTAATTTGAATTTAATTTATTCTAACTTAAAATAATGGACTTACTTGGATTCTGTTTTGGAGGTTCTGGTTTGCGCGTTGGTGCAGGTTGAGGTTTTTGTGTTATTGGCGGTTCTCTGGTTGGTGTTGGCCTAGTAACAGGTGGGTTTGGTCTGGTAACTGGTGGTTTTGGTCTGGTTATCAGCACATTCTGTACAGTGTTGTCAGGGCAATCAAGACTACTTGAAGAGCACTTCTGACTAAAGAGAGCATGTTGAAAAGAGAGTGTAGTAAGTGCAGGAGAACCTGTAACAGAGTTAGAGCTGTCAGAAACAATTATGTATTTAAAGGTGCACAGAAATGCAGTATGGTAAGAAGGATAAGAATAGGTGACACAGAGAATGTTAAGATGGAAACCTATACTTTTAGACTACAGGTTAATTGTATCTATCTGTACTACTGCTACTCTGTCACTTCTTCTTTTACGGAAATGTTATTAAGTTTGTGGATTACTAGAAATGGGCTTTATAACCGAAAAGCCATGGACTCACATTGACTTTTGTATGTTTTTATAGTAGAATTATAGTTCTAAAAATCATCAAAATTCTATAAATTTTAACAATTAAAGATGTACTTTTTCTCTTATAGGTCTCAGTAATCCATATTATTAAAATATTTAAAATTTTAGAAATTTAATTACTGAAAATTTATTTATTGTTTCTGTATGGGGTCTGAGTGATCTATTTTTGCTTGGGTTTCATCATTTACATCCCCCCCTGCAACCATTCAAGAATAATATATTGGTAAGGAGTGAACATGACCATCTCTCTGCACTTACTTGGTTTGTTGGCTCTGCAAATGACCTGATTGTTTACGGTGATACTCTTGATTGTAGGCAAGGGAGAACTTACAGGAAAGTCTAATTTGTACAGAATAAAATACTGTTCACCAGTTCTCATTCTCTGCCATTCTTCGTTTAGATTATTTACAAGCTCAAGCCGTCCTTTTCTGCTCTGTAATAAACATTTATATATATATATATATTTATAATTACAACTCCAATTTTATCAGTCACTATCATCAAAAACTTACCAAAACACAGAGAACTTGATCTTTACCCTACTCAAAGCCATTTCATATAACATCAGAAAAGTCATGTACGGCATATAACACATTTTCAAATACATGTCATTTCCAGATGTGTTAATTGCAGTTTTTCATCCCTTAATGGCTCTGATAATCATTTATTACAAATTTAAATTGATTGATAGTAGAAGTATTTGAATCTAAAATTGCATCTGTAGTACTTAATTTCTGCAGTTTTGGTACTTCTGAATTTGTGATAATTAACTTTTTTGAATGGGTATAGTTGATTTAAGCCATGAATTAAGGGACTGCTGGCCAGACATTAGCTATGGGGTTTAATGATACAGCAGTATGCTATTGTGATATATGGCCAGATGTGACCAGCTGAATCTCATGTGTGCATTGGTACATGCTAGGTCAAGTGCCTACTTTTCAGATCTTAGTTATAACTTCAGAAAATAATGGTGCTGTGATGGAGTTTTGTTCTGAATACAATATATTATTTTGCAACTTCAGTTGATAAGTTATGGAATACCATATACAGTAAAACCTCTCTAAGTTGGACACTTTGGGTTTCACGAAAATGTGTCCAACTTACAGAGGTGTCCAAGATAGAGG